TCTGAACTTGGATTCAGTTTCTGGTATGCCAGAATTCAAAACCCGTGCTCATTCATTATACTGTGCATCTCCTGATGATATATGCATAGGGAACAAAAACAGTGTGGGTCAATTAATCATATCAGAGAAACAAATACAATAGTGACTTTGTAATTTTACAATATCTGAGGCCGTTTGCATTTTCCTTTAGAACCACAAAGTACCATGAGTTTTAAATGTTCAAGACACTTAATCTATTTTTGTATATATATATGTGTGTGTATATTTATATATATATATTTCATTTAATCCTCATAACAACCCTATGATGCACAAATAAAAGCAGTACCTCCTTTTCGCAGGTGAGGAAATGGAGGCAAAGAGAGGATGAATAATTTGCCTAATAATCTTCAGATGGAGCTGGGATTTGGACCCCAGAGCTAGAGCACTTAACTGCTCCTAAAATCAAGTCCTGCCTGTGCCTCATGGTGTTAAACGTGCTCAAGTTAAAAGCATCTCTTTCCGTTCCCCAACAATACATGTATAACTGTTAGAGAAGGAGAAAACAGTTAGAGATAGACTGTTGTTACCATCCCAACTGTCTTTATCTTTAACTGACTGAAATCTGATCCCTAAAGTTTCTGAACATAAAAGTTTTTTGTTTTTTTTAAATTTCATTACACATACTTGGTTCTGCTTTAACAGATTTATTACTTTGATAGGATTTGATAATCTATATTTTTAGAAATTAGTAGAGTATGTCTAAGAGTTAGCAAGTAAGTAGGTTTAGAAATTAATCAAGGGAGCAGTGAGATTTACAAGGTAGGAAAAACCCATGTTAATCAAAGTTAACACAGAGTGCATGATGGGAATTCTCAGTGTGGACCTTAGTCTATTGTGACTAGATAAACACATGGATCTTTCTGATTGAACAAAGGTCATATCCTGCCTTGTTTCAAATTTCTGTTTTGAAAAAGGCATTTCTGAGTGGAATTCAAGTTCTTAAAAATTATCTTAAGTCTCAGAGTTGACATTCAGTTTGTTTGAATAAATAGAGTAACATTTCTCAAATTTGGTATATTATATTTTGAGAGATGCAACTACATCTTGAATTTCAGGAATTAGTAACCTCAATAATGTTTAAAAGATTTAGGGAGGGTTTAAGCCTTCTGTTTACTTTCCATAACTATTGACCATAGTAAGTTTTCCTCTAAAGTCAATTATATGCATTGCGTGGTGAATGTTTTGTGTGTGTCAACTTTTATCTTTCTATTGGCTATCTATAATCACTTCACCTGTAAGCAGTTTTTATTACATTATAGAAATGCTACATTATTTTCTATTTATGAACCCTGGTTCTAACTGTGTGGAAATCTGCCACAGTGTACATTTACATGTTTGACCCTCTTGGACTTCATGAGAAAGACCTTGTATTTCCCGTATTGCTAAATTACTTTTCCTTTATATCACAGTGGTAGCGACAACTGCGGTGTACAAAGCCAGCTGGCTACTGATTATTCTGTCATCTGAGAAACATTTTTTTCAATCTTCTATTTAAAAATAGCATTATCAAAATCATTTAATCAAGATCTTGATTTGGTAAAAGGTGAACATAATAAAAGAAGCATAGTGCAGTAGAGACAGGCTACATTTTCCCTCTCCTGATCTGTTGCCAGGTTTCCATCTTCAAGAGAGTGGCAGGTCAGGTGGGCTTTCTGTGGCTGCATGTGCATGCTTCTGCTTTTCCATGTGATTCTGGGGTGCAGGCTTGTCCACTAAGAGTAGGAGGGAGTCTCAGCACCAAAATACTTTCTACGGGACAATTATGTTTAAACGTGTTCAATGTTGAAGAGGTGGAGAGAAAAAAAAAAAATAATGCTCAAGGAAGAATGACTAAGTTGAACTCGACCACAGATAATCCACTATGCTTGTTTAACAGGTAACTGTTATATTTTGAGCAAAATTTTATGAAAAATGACTTGGAAGGAGGGAGAGAAAGAAATTTTATGAAATGGTTATCAGAAATTTAAGGGTTTCTTTTAGCCAAGAGCATAGGTACATTGCCTGTACTGCAGCTATATGAAGCAGAATGGATTATAAACCCAACCAAATGCTTAAGGGTTTAAGACTCACCTAGTCCTTCCTGGGTCAGCCTGACCCTAGCTTGGCACCACTAATCACAGAGCAGCAGCTTCTTGAATTTCAGGTACAAAAGCAAGGTCAAGCATTTTGAACTGGGGCTTAGAGGCAGGATGGATTTTCCCTGAAGCTAGTGGAGCCAAGGTTTCAGGGCCTCTCACTTTGAGGGACCCTTTCGAAGACCCTGTACCTAATTTTGTATTCATATTTTTTTCTTAAAGGGAAGGCTTCTAGACCCACAAAATCTGTATTCATTCCTGGGTGAGGGTGTCTGTGAACTTCCTGAAGTAACGTACAGAGTGTGAGTGTGGCAGTGTGCATATGTACATGGGGCCTCCACGTTTTTCTTGAAGAGTCTATAGTCTTCATTGGCATCTCAAAACCATCTGTGAGCTGGGCACGGTGGCTCACTGCCTGTAATCCCAGCACCCTAGGAGGCCAAGGCAGGAGAATCGCTTGAGGCCAGGAGTTCAAGACCAGCCTAGGCAACATAGTGAGACCCCATCTCTACAAACAAATAGAAAAATTAGCTGGGCATGATGGTACATGCCTGTAGTCCCAGCTACTTGGGAGACAGAGGCAGGAGGATCACTCAAGCTAGGAGTTTGAGGTTGCTATGATGATGCTGTTGTACTCTAGCTTGAGTGACAGGGCAAGATTCTGTCTAAAAAAAAAAAAAAAAAAACCCAAAGAAACAAACCATCTGTGACTTAAAAAGGTTAAAGAACTCAGGCTTAAGCTTAGGAGAAATTAATAAGCCTTTTAGTTCTAGTCTTATAAAACTAAACTTAGGAAGTGATGGTTTAATTGCTAGAGGCAACAGTCCATGATTCATGTTGAAAGACTGTCCTAAATACATCACAGGATACAGTGGTTACCAGAGACATAGATGGGCATGTTCTTGATGGTTACACATCTCATTGGAATATACACCCTCATGTTCATTTGAATCAATTGCTCATTCATTCATTCCTAAATACTTCCTGAGTGTCTGTTCTACACCTGCAGCCATGCTAGGATCCACGAGTTCAGAGATGAACTAGGTAGCCCTGCTGCTTTTAAGCAACTCACATAGCCTCTGTCATTTCAGCCAAAGGAGGACTCTGCCTTCTTTCTTAAGATTGCCACATATGTATGAGTTCTGTCCTTGAGACCCTGAGGTCTCATTTTTAATCAAAATGGAAGCTTGTCAACATATTCCCAGATCCAAAATATCGCACAAAAAGCCAGTCCCATGAGAGAGGTGTCTCCTGAGTAGGTGTGGGTGCACTATTGAGCTCCTGCCATTGCCTCCTCCTGCTGTGGGAAAGATGGCTCCACTCTGTCCAGCTGTGTGCCTCCCTGTTAAGGATTCAGAGTGCAGGGAGACCAGCAGGGGTATCAGTCCAGATACCTGAGGAATGCAAAAGTAAATAATGGTTTGACTGTCATCGGGGTCGAGAGATTTATCCTTGTGGCTAACGGCTTTATTAATTTTGCAATTAGTCTCCTATAGTCAAAGCCAGAATTCTTCCCACATCAATCACATGTAAATATTAGCCCGTGGAAATTGGGTCGATGTTGTTTCATTTCCCCATTCCTATTCTTTGTACCTTTCACTACCCACTTATTTGACAATCCTGCCGACCCTACAGCAAAAGTCTGTCATTCCCTCCTTTCCATCCCTTCTCCCATCACCCTGATCTCCCATGTCATCTGTGACCACAACTCACCACTGGATTCTCTGCCCATTTTCTCTGTCCCTTCAGTCCACCCCACACACTCCTCTTAGCTTTGCCTTCTGTAGAGCACCATCCCCAGGCCTCTGCTGTGCACAGTGACATACAGCTTCCCCCTCAGCAGCCTAAGGTACACCAGGAGATCGTCAGAGAGCTTGAAAGGGAAGACTAAGCAAAGTAAAATGGTTTTCCACAACATTTTGTGCGTCCGGGGTCTCTTGTTCTTCCAGAGACATGCTCTGTACTGCACTGCCTCTGGGTGCCCCTCCTCACATTCCTTCCATCCAGTATTTCTCATCTGCTCCTTCCCTACCCCTACTCCATCTCTCACAATGTCATTCAGGTTTCAACAGGGGAGTCCGTGTTATGTGGGAAGGCACTGATGTAAAGCAGGTACATAAGGTGAAAATCTCACATAGTGGAATCAAATTGTGCTTCGAAACACTAGAAGGCCCCTGAGAATAGCCAGATGCTCCTCTCTGTGCTTCCCTGGACACTAGCTAAGAAGCCCCTGAACAGAGACCACCTAAAAAGCAGGGCCATCGGTCCCCGAGTTCCTTGCACCTTCTCCAAGCAGGGTTTTCCAACCTTTTCCATGTCTGGCATTCGGAGACAATGAGGGTATTTGTATGGCACACCAGGGAACATTGAGGGAACTGCGTGTGGGGTGGGTCCCTCTTATCTCTCAGACCCCTCCAATCCCTCCTGCAGCAGCGGAGCAGCTGGGAATCTCTGGCCTAGGGATGTGTTTGCTGAATAAAATGGCTTCCAGGGTTTTTTCTGCCATTCTTCAGTTCCTGAGAAAATACGGTTACATCCCTAAAAGTTAAATACATCTGTGCTATAACTCCACTCTACACAAATTCTACCCTTCATGAATTCTGCCTTGATTCTCCATAAACACTGTCCATCTCTCTTGTATGATTCATCTGTAATCTGTAAAATCATGAACTTGGCCTGGTCCTTCAAGGAAAGAACTGTGACTTAGTCTATTCATACCTACCTTGGGGCCACCTGGCCCAGGATGGGTATTTAAATGTGCCTTTGTTGAAGGAGTAAGTCAATGGTAGCACCTTCTAGGAACAAATTGACTTGATTAATATCACAATAGGGCTTTCTCTGCATCTTAAAATCATTTTTTCTTCTTTGTTTCTCTCTTTATAGGAATTCAGAAATAGGCTTGGGAATCACCAGAGTCCAATACCCCACACCCCTGCTGCAACTCCACGTGACTCAGTGAGTTCCAGGATGGCACCGCAGATGCAAAGGCCGCACCAGGACTGGGCAATGCGGATGTCTGTGGGCGTGGCTCTGTTTGCTCTTCTTCTCGCTTTTTTGGTCAAGATCTGTAACTAGAACACAACTAAATGAAGCATCTGTGAAGAAGAGTAAATTTCTAATTAAAATCTTCAATGAACAGGAGGGCAACTACATCAGTTCTCAAAGGGCAATAATTCGTGTTGGTCCCACTGCCAGCTCTTCAGCCACACTTTTTCATGAGGCCCCCCTGTCTCACACTGAGTTGGGCCCATTGGTTATTTGACCTAAAACCCAATCACAGCTACCATAACATATCTTTCAAACTCTCCTTGGTTTATTTTTAGCAAGAAATGCAAGTGGTAGCATTAAAAAAAAGAAAAATCTCCAATTTTCAAGTCAGAACCTAATTGTACAGTGGTTCTGGTCATCTTTTCCTTATGTGGAAGAATTTTCAATCTTTAATAAATATTGTTAAGTGTATCTTCCTCTTCATGCTTTGTTTGGAGTCCCAGTGCTACAAACATCTTATTTTTCACAGCAGATGTGTTCCTGAAAAGTTTATATGGAAACCTATTTTGGGAACTTGAATGCTTTTGGAATGTGCAGTGAGAGTCTTCCAATTAACAGACGCCTGGCAACATTTTGTGAAATACAAGGAATCACCCGCTTCTGTAGCACCCACAAACTTTGGAAAACTGGATTTGTCTAAAACAAACTGTGCCCCTTTCCTGACATTTCTGATCAGTTAGATCAAATGTTCTTATTTCTATACGACACCATTGGTCCTTACTAAGTAAAGTGATTTCTTTCACACACAAAAAAAGAATTGGTATAATAAGCAAATCCTTTATTTATCAGAATTAAAATAAGCTATTTGGATTGTATAGGCACAGGGAAATCAGGTGCCCGGTCATTACCGCAGGATTTTTTTCATCTTGAAACATCTCCATACTCCATTCAGCTCTTCCTTTGATCTCAGAAAAGATGTTTCAGCCTTTTATGTGTTGTTTAAGGAATCTAAATTAAAATTTAATTATGTCATCAGTTGGTGATCTAAAAAATATATACACTTTAATGTTAGTACCTTTCTCCTGAACCTGGGATGTGCTTCTAAGAAGCACAAAGGTCTGCCTGGGCCGCTTTGAGTCCTTCGGGTGAACATGCATTCGGGAGCACCCGCGCTTCTCAGCAAGAACAGGGAGAAGACGACAGGAAGCCTGCTGTTTCCCTCCTGTCTTGAGCTATATGCTGTCATTTCTTTGTTAATAAACAGAGTGGGTTCCAGTGTGGTACTTATTTAACAAAACCCTAGCAGAGATAAAAATGCCATCCAAAGCCTGGAGTCACGCCTAGATAGGACTTAAGGAAAGCTTTACACCCATAACCGATTAGAGACAGAAAGCGTTTTTTCCTACTTCCCTTTTCTCTTTCTCTACTCTTTTTCCTCTCACTCCCTCATCTATTTCGTTTCTCCCTTCTAGCTCTGTGCTTTCCTCTCCTCCACTCTCCTTCCTACATTTTTTCTTCCGGTAAGAGAATGATCCGCTTGACCATCTGAAGCCCTGCTGCCCCCGTCACCTGCTGGGGCCTGGCTCCTCAAGGACTGTTCAGCTGCACGGATTTTCTCCCCTCCTTGCCACGACTGGCACTTACCCTCTATTAGGCTGCAGCTCCACTCTGCTCTTTGGTCCAGAAAGGGACCAAAGCCACTGCCGTGCAGCAGGGATTGGACCTCACATGGTGCCTGTCACCATATGGTGACCAATTGGTGAGGGGGAGGCAGTGGTCTCGAAATCCAGCTTTCTTTTTTCCATGAGCTCCTGCTAGAAAGAGGGAGAAGAGAAGGATATGGCGGGCATCAAAAACAATTCTCTTGTGCACAGGACTCTGAATGGGACTGAGCCTGGGAGCCACAGGAGCAAGCGTGGTCATCAGTAGAGCTGTTACCTTCCAGCCCATCTGCTTCCTTGGCCCCTAGGCCCATGGTGCACCTGTACTTGTCCTGCCCCTTTGAAGTTAGGCAGGCCCACATGGCTTGCTTTAGCCTATGAAATGTGAGTGCAAAGGTTATATCTTTCTTTGGGGCTGACATGTTTAGATTTTCAGTTCGCCATGTGCTCTTCCCACTGCTGTGGTGATCATGAACCCACATGTCAGAATGAAGCCTCCCTCAGCCTGGGTTAGTGCGATGAGCAGAGCCCTCCACCACCGTGTGCTAGACATGCACCAATGAGCAAGAAATGTGCTTTCGTTGTGTTGAGGGTTGTTGGCATAGCATAACCTGATTCATACAAAGAGTCAGCCATGATAGGATGCTTGACTTGCAGGTTGTAAACACAGTTGTTATGTTTTCTTACGTTTTCACCTTAATACCGGTCTTTTTTTCTTTTTTTAATGTGTCTCTCTCTTCTCTGCTAAGAAGGAAACCTATGAAGAGATCTTTTCCATGGTTTGGCCAGTTTATTTATTAAAGTAAACTCTTTATTAAAGTTAACATACGTATGTACATAAATCACAGGGATTTCCAAAGAGCAAACATATTGTAGCCAGCACCAGGAGGCTCCCCATGTATCCTCCCAGCCTGAAAAGTAATTAATTCTGCCCCCTGAAAAGTAACCACTATCCTTATTTCTAATTTGCCTATTTATTAACTTTATATAAATGGATTCATAGTATGCACCATTTCCTGTCTGCCTTCTTTTGCTCAACATTGATCATGAGATGCATCTGTGTTGGTGTGTGTACCAGTAATTCATTCATATTCATTGCTGGATGGTATTCCATTGCATGAATATACCACATTTTATGTATCCATTCTACATTTAAGTTTCCAATTTTTTGGCTATTATGAATAATGCTGCTATGAACGTATTTTGGTACACATATATAAATATTTATGTGGTGAGTATATGTCTAGGAGTGGAATTGCTGGGCATAGAATTTGCATATGTTCAGCTTTAGTAGACACTGCCAAATGGTTTTCTGAAGTGGTTATACCAGTTTACATCCCCACCAGCGGTTGCCATGAACTCTGCCATTCTCCCCACTATTTTTTCTTTGTAGCTTTATATTCTTCAGCAGACTTTGCTGTCTCCCTTCCCTGGGTCAGTCCTATTTTAATGATAATATTGATAAACGTTAACTGTCTAGCCTTTAAATGAGCCAGATGTTATGATGTGTACTTTATAGGTTAAGTGGTCCTGAAGAAACAACTTTGAGATACATATTATTATTCCTGTTTTACTGAGAAGAAAATCTAAAACTCAAAAGATTAAGTAACTCGTGCAAGAGTCAGAGAGCCTTTAAATTTAGAGGCAGAACTTGAACACAGCCCAACTGCAAAGTGTATACTCCTCTACTATAAAATTTTTCTGCTGCCTTGTCCTGTCTTTGACCTAAACTTGACCTGTACCAACAGATAGGTATCTGGGATTGACCATGAGAATGCCTGGGTTCTGGGGAAGCCCACCCCTTCACTCTGGATTGTCCTGCTCCAAGAATGTGCATGGCATTTGATAAACTTTTAAAATAAAGATTTATAAATCAGATTTTTTTTCCTTCCTTCCTTCCTTCCTTCTTTCCTTCCTTCCATTTGAGAATGTAAGGAATTCTTTGGTTAAAAACTTTGCTTTGTTGCTGGAAAAATGTGTCTAAACATCAGATTTCCATATGTCATTGAGTCAAAACATACAGTACTTCTATTGCCATCACTCCAGGTTGAAAATTGCAGTGTATATTGTAAGCTGTCATGGAGGGAGAATCAGAGTTACAGATAAAACTTCAAGAGATTTTGTCATCGTAAAACAAACATAGAAAAATGAAAGAAGGAAGAAAAGGGAAAGAAGGTAAAAGAGGGGAGAGAAAAGGAAGGGGAAAAAAATATTCTTGAGGCTTGCAACAACAGCAAAAAAAGTAACCATGCGAGATGATGGACACAATTTGCTTGACTGTAGTAACCGTTTCACTAGATATATGTATATCAAAACATGTTGTACACCTTAAATATATACAATAAAAAATGAATATGCACATTTTTAAAAAAGGCTTCTCTGGCCCCCAAGGCACCCCATGGTGCTGCAGTAAATTCACTAGAGCACCTTGGGATATTTTAAATTTTTGAAGGAAACACAGCAACATCTGTCAGATGCCAGGCAAAATACTAGCTCAAAATAGTTCACAGTTTTCAACATTAGATTCTGCAACTTTTTTTTGATGACACCATGTCTTTATAAGACTGGATTTTCAGCAGTTGCTGTGCTAAAAAGCAAGTATCAACTGAAAATAAATGTGGAACAAGAAATGAAGATTGGTGATCATATTCCAAAGTTTGAGAAGTGGTGCAGTGCCCAACAGATGCACATGTGCTATTAATAAGTAATTGTAATTTTAATATGAAATAATATTTCTCAAGTATTTTTTCAAACAGTTCTTATAAAATATTAGGGCATAGATACTAAGTTGTCAGGATCTACCTACTAAATAAAGAAGAGGGTGAGCTGTTTCTTTTGGCCTAGGGGTGCCATGAATCAAGAAAGTTTGAGAACCTCTCTATATAGTACACCCTAAGTTAGAGGATCTATGCCAAATATAATCTGGAGTCCTAATCAGTTCTTAATATGTTTTCTTCTTATTTTAAAGAAATAGCTTATCAGTAGTATGTGCATGATAAATTTATACTTGGCTTGCCATTGAGTTTGATTTTTATGATGTTGAAACTGTAAAGGAGTTAAGGATCTGAATCAACTGGATTCACATCCCAGTTGTTTGCAATACAAGTTTGAAGCAGTTACTGTAAGGAAAGAGCGTGAGATTTTTGACATCGACAAAACTTTGACTTAAATTCCAGCCAGGCCACTTTGTCTTTTTGACCCTCATCTATAAAATAAGGTCACTGAAAGATGAAGTGAGGTCATGTATATCATGTGACACACATCCTTATATTTTATATTAGCCACTTAAAGGTGAAAACCAATTTTATAAATAAAGTTAGGTGTTTTAAATTCTGATATCAACACGTAACCACCAAAAAGATTTATATGTGGAATAAAAAGATTCTTGCCTCAAGGGATTCTAAGTTTGATTCTAACAAATGCAGTAAAGGAGGAAAAATTCAAAGAAAATGGATTGCAGCTGTATTTGAGGAGCTCAAATTAATGAATAGT